TGCATGATGAGTACGTGAGAGGCTTTCTCCATGGCCAGGCAATGTAGTATTCTCGAAACCCTCGGACGTGACGTTTCAATGAGCAGAGCGGATCCACTAAAGGTATATTTGTCAAGGTAGATACCCCTGGTAGATAAAGAAATCAATGTCTTGATCATACGGCAATACTCAGTGGCAAGGATAGGGTAATTCCATGATTATCATACGAGAATGCGTAGGTGCCTTCTGATATCCGAGTTACTCTTTCAATGCAGTACACGGAATCAGTATGCAACCTTTCTGAAACCCATGGGAATGTTCTCACTGTCAGTGCTAGTTTCAGATACCTCAGTTCGAGTAGAATCTAGAAATTGTTTGGCCTAAGCCACCGGGTGATCCCAAGCATACTGTCCAGGGTCAACCTGGATCAACCCAGGTTGTTACGAGTTTCTGCCTACGTACAAGCCCCGTACGACATGACAAAATCTCTCAGCAAAGGCCAAGCTGATAATAGGTTCTTGGGGCGCAATTAGCTGCTTCAATCTCTCTAGAAGAATCAAAGCACATCATGAACCTGGATTGGTGTTCATCATGCTTGGCACGCCTTACTTCGTAGCCACGTTAGTCCGGCCCCATCTCTCTGATCTACAATGGCTTCACGTTTTTCTCGCTTTCTCGCTTTGGGTTTGGAGACTGGAGACTGGAGAATGTTCGATTGCATTTCCCCCTACATCAACATCCTTTCAAAATCCCCGAGACCCGCGCCCACGAGGAAAGCGAAATCGTTTCGCGTCACGTGGCCCACTTCATGAGGTCAAAGTAGAATCGGCCTGTCTCTCTGAACCGGCGGATCCCAGGCTCAAGCTTTTGACACACTTTCGGGGGGTTGGCTGCTTGGCTGGTGATGGTCTGCTTGCGGGCCTTGGCCCCATCGCTAAGCCCGATTCAGCGGCGGGAGCCGTGCCTGGCCGGAACTGTGAATTCAGCCTTCAGAGTTCACACTTACCGCCATTCTCTAATGCCCGATGCCTGGTCTCAGTCTCACTCCCTTCCCCCCTCCGCTTTTCCTCCAGGTTGTTGCCCATGGGGTAAACAATAATGCCTCTCTGGCACTCTGCTCAATGCATCAAGGTGACCTAAGTCATGTTTCAGTAGTCAGCTGACAATCTGTTCTTTTCTTTTCTTTCTTTTTTTGGTTCAAACATCCTCTCATATGTGAGTGAAATAGTTGATGACACTATGATCTACGGTCGCATTGTGGCTGAGATCTAGATTTATACTAGAGTATATCTTTGACTATCGCCATCACGAAGACGCCGCATTGGGCTTCTCGAAGCTCACCACTGTCTGATCCTAGTCATGTGGCAATTTTCTATCGAATTAAGGTTGAGTTTATCGAAACTTTGAAGTAGATCAGTTGTAACCTTCCGTCTCTCTAGAGTCTAAAGTTCTGTCCCTGATCTTCTGACTTGGAGGAGTAGTTCGCACATGGGCGAGGTTCGTGGCTTTGACTGGATACAATCATGTCTTCATTGACCGTTGGCACTGAATGAATCCAGTCAAGCTCCTGAGAGTGCAACAGTATCATGTTGAGCTCATCGTTCCAGTAAATCAGAGACAACTCGTTGAGCTTTGTTGCTTTCTCCATCCTCATGGGACATCCCGGCTGAGCTTTAGCATTCCGTTCCACGACATATTCTCACCGACTGGCATATTCCCAGTCGCGAACAAAGTCTGGAAATCCACAGAATATACCATGTTGAAACGATCTCCGTGTTTTCGGGCCTTGTCTAAGGAAATAGGAGGTCAGCATATGCGCCCTTAAATTTCATTATCAATCTTTGTCTCTTAAGTGAGCAGTTCATTCCAGGCTCATAACACTAGGTCAAACCACAGTGCATTGAATTTTAAAAGGCATTCTATCTCAACGAGCGTGGCCAATAAGCACATGTGGTCTGGCTGATTCTGTCGGACTGTAGGCGATGATAATCGATGATATTCTCTTGTGTCTCTTGACGCCTGGAGGCCTTCATGATCAGCTAGTTCTCTTTCATGGAGCTTTGGTCATCTGGCAGGTTGAAAGCTGGGATTCCTTTTACTCACCTTAGCTCCGGAGGCCATCTTAGATTATCAGCTTTTGGTAGCTCTGATCTTGTGTGCTGAAGCTTTGCAAACCCACAGCATTGATAAGACTATGAGGTGGCTGAATACTAAGCCCTAACTATGTGCCCTATGATGAAGTCAGAAATAGTCAAGTTGTGGCGCAGCAGGCTGAATTCAGAATAGCGTGACTGACTAACTATAGCTGCTTCTGGTTGCGGCATCATCATAACCAGTACTCCGTACCCCGTAACAGTTCAAGCAAACAGCTACTGGAAAGTTGAGAACAGTAGTCATCATCATTAACATCATCTTCATCGTCATCATATCACATCACTGAGCTCTGTTCCCTGGCTCACTCTACCACCTTTTCAGCCCAAGGGATGCCTCCTGATCTCAATTCTCTTCCACCATCCCGTTCCCCCTCATCCCCGCGTCCACCACGGACAGTCCCCGCCTCTTCCGAATCTCTGTCAGCTGTCTCCCCTGCAGCATCATCTGCCACCATGAACAACAATACTAATGCCACAGACCTGTCGCGTCGGTCTTCACGCGCTTCGCCTCGTACAAGGTTGTCAATTTCAGAGCACCGTCGGCCTCCCACCGGTACCAGCTCAAACCTGAGCGAGTCAGAAATTCCCTCAGCCGAGCACCGATCCTCCTTGAGCCATGCACTTCGCACGGCAAGTCCCACGATCGGAGGCAGCCCGATCTTTGCCACGGGCGACCCGCACCACCAGCGTGCTCCGTCTCTAGGGGAGCTCCACCAGGAATTGGAGCAAGAACAAGAAGCGCAAGTGGTATGATAATGCCATATCCTCAACGAAAATGGGCTATGAATGCTGATTGGGCTATAGAATCGACTGTTGCAGATGATTCGGAGTCAACAGGCCCAACTACAACAACTCCAGCAGCAGCAGCAGCAATCAGGCACAGCCGTCGAAGATTCCACACCACCGTCCGAACGGTCTGTCCCCATAATACCACCACTTCCTGCAGCTGGTAGCGGTCGAGCGTCCGCTCAGTTTCCTTCATCCCTGTCCAGCCACCGACCGTCGCGACCTCCCAGCCAGACTGCCTCTCCCAGTCTTCGCCCGCTACCTTCTGCTTCTCTGCATGGAACGTCGGTCGACTCATCCCGCGGGCCGGAAGGGTTGGACTGGGCAGCAGGCACCAGTGAAACCTCGTCCCGACGCGGTAGCAGGGATGAGGTGGCTTTCTACCAAGCCGAAGCATCCATGCTCAATCGCGAAAACCAGATGCTCCGGCAGCGTATACGCGAACTAGGTTTGTGCCCTCTTTTCTCTCCTCCTGTCATATCTGCCAAGTCTATCTATCTGTTTCATGTCCTACGTTTGCTCGGAGCTTATGATCCAAACACTAACAAAGCAAAAGAACGACATATTAGTGAGCTGACCACCTCTGGTGCCCGACCGGAGCAGAGTGCGCCACCTGCCACACAAGGGGCCGAAACCGCCGATCATCATGCATCTGCCGGTGTGGGGTCGGCTACTGAGCCCACGCACAAGACTTGATGGGAAAACACAAGGCAAGGATGCGCTGTCGATTGTCCGCCCGCTTCTTTGACTTTCAGATTCCACTTTCTCGGCGTGTCTTATGATCAGCAATTTTCTCATTGTCTGAAACGGCGAACTGCCAAAGTTTGAGATGTTGTAATTTGTATGAGGTATTTCTGATCCTTTTCCGCCACGTGCATTGATACCCTGAACTATGATTATCTGTGTATCCATTGGATGTATTCGCTGTCACCACTCAATAAAGGGCTCAAAAGCACCACAAATTCCTCGCATTTCTTTTCGGCCTACCCAGACTGCCTATTGGGCGGTTCCTTGACGATGCTATCCTTGAATAGGATTCATGATTGCCTAGCTGCAGTGTCTGTATATCGTATACGCAGGCAGGGCGTCGATCATTCTAGAGCCTCCTTGGCGAACTCTGCATGCATTAGTATCGCTGTTGCCTTCCTATCTTATTGCATGCAGAGCGTATACACGGTGATCATCAGCTGGCTACTGTACGGCATCCTCGAGAGCAGTTGTAATGGAAGTCAGAATCTCAGATGGTTGATTCCAGACTGGCACTACGCCGTTCTGTCCTTCATTCCCAAGACAGACTAATCCCATCTTCCATTCATCCAACCACTCACTCACCCAGCACATCCCATGTCTCCTTGCAACCCGAACGCAAACCCCCAGGCGTTCCTTCATACTTATGACCCATCAAACATACACCTCGGAAACCCGAAGTCTCCTTGCCGAGTGCATCCCTTGGCAGCCTTGACCTCGGGCTTCTAGGCCCATCGACCAGAATCGATACGCACCCGAATCTCCCCTCGGACACACTCTAACACCGCTGAATCCCCATCTCCCAGTCTGCAGTCAACACCAGCTGCTCGAAGGAACCGATGCTCCCATTCCCCCTCCGCACACACCGCACCGCACCCTGACCCGTCAGCACGAACACCCCAAACCGCCGACATCCAAAATTCAAAGAAAGACTTGATGCGAGGATTCCACGCTACAATCCGCACGCAGAAGACAGTGAATAAAGCAATCTAGACCGGTGTAGGGGCGCCGCGCCGGGGAAGATGAATAAGCTGCTCCCCAGGTCCCATCTGAGGCCGCCGGTTTTCTTACGTTCGACTTATTTTATTGAGCGTCCGCTCGCTGCTGGGGGTAGTAGCTGTTCGGCGGCCGGCACTCGGTGAAATCTAGGGATCGGATTCTTCCATGGGGGGCTGACTGGATAGATAGACGCTGTTGTTAGCAGAAAATGTACGACTGACTGACTAATTTCAGTGATCGATGCTTCTACAACTACGCCGGTGTGCAATTGAGGAACCAGAGAAAAAGTCATGCATATATAGGTATAATCTAAGCCCGTACAATAAAATCTATAATTTACAGCTTGGCCTTCTCGCTCTCGGCCAGCAGGTCAGGCATCAGCAGTTCCCTCAAGTCCGATGCCGCCTCGCTGAGGTAGTAGCTCATCCGCTCCGCTCCAAGGCGCTTGCAGACAATGTTGAAGTTGAGGCTGTAGCGGTCGTTAGCAATGGCATGAAATTACAGACGGAAAGGGACATACCTGTTCTCGTTGATCATATAAGCAATTCCGAATCCATCGTCGATGACCTGGCTCCATCCGTAGCCATTGAAGAACTCCGAGCTCAGCTGGCTGGTCGACAGGTACCACGAGCCGCTGTAGGCGTAGGCGGGATCCTCGTACAGAGCGGGGAGCTTCTCGCCCTCGCGCAGGAGCTTCTTCAGACCGAACAGATGACGGTCAACACCCATACCATCGCCGGCCAGGGCGGTGTACTTGGAGTGAGCCGCAAGGGCCGCGCGGAAGAGGCGCACGACCTCCTCGCGGGGGACGGAGGGGTCGGCGTGGGCCTTGCAGAAAGCCACGCTCTCGTCCGAGACGGTACGGATGGTCTCGGTACGACCCTCCTGGAACTTGCGGGTCGAGGCCGACTCGTATGTGGGGCGGTTCTTGCCGTACATCTTGAAGTACGCCAGCTGGATGACCATCTGCACAAAGGCGTCGGGGCTGCACTTGAACTTCTTGATGAGACCCTTGCCGTACCCCTGGTAGGCTTGAACCTTGAGCTCGTGAGCGGACATCTGCTGGCGGTGCTCCTTGGAGGCCGCGTCAATGGCCTCGAGCACCTCCGAGTTCAGGTGGAACTCGATGGGGCGGGGGTCGGGCAGGTTGGAGCGCACAGACTTCTCGGAGAGGTCGATCTTGTTGTTGAAAATGAGGTTGTTGAGGTGATCGTTCAGGCGGTGGGTGGGGCTGCCGTCCATCATGCTGTGCTCACCCATGAAACCGGCAGTGCCGTTGTCATTGATGATGAACTGGAGGGGCTTGTCGAACCAGCGGTTGGTGCCATCGCCGTGCCAGTACTGGTGAGCCCGCTCCTCCAGGGTCACGGGGGTGGCATCGTCGAGGCAGACGACGAAGCCGCTGGACTCGATGTCGCGCAGAGCCTGCTCGTTGGCGGGGTTGGCTGCCAGCAGCTTCTTCCGAGCATCGGCCCACAGGTCACGGTTGGCGACCGTCAGAACGCCGACAGGGGGAGCACGCTGCGCGATCTGATAGATGCGCTCGAACTGCTTCTCCAGCTCGGAGACGTTGAGACGCTCCCCGTTGACAACAAGGGGCACCTTGAAGAACTGGTTCTTGCGCACAACCACAATGTGTTCGTTTTCCTTGGCGGGGTACTTCTGGGGGTAGTCGGCGCCTTCGGCGGGGATACGGCAGCAGTTGAACATGTACTCGTACGAGCTCATGGCTATGGGAAGCTTGCGCATGTACTCGGGCTCCAGGGAGCCATCGTCCACCTGGCGCTTGAACTCGAGGGCGGCGGTAGTGATGGACGCCGCACGCTTGACGGGGTTCCGCCGGGCACGGTCGTCCCTGTATGAGTAGAAGTAGGAGACGTAGGGAATGACGGGGTCCCGGTAGCCCAGGTAGGCGGCGTGGTTCCACCATTCCGTGAGCCAGTTCTTGATCTTGGGATCGGCGGCGCGGGCCAGCAGTCTTTCCTGCAGAGGCTGACCCTCACCACCGGGACGGATAAAGGCCTCGACGGCCTTCTTGGTGCGCTCGTACTCGGCCTCAGAAACCACGGCGTGGACGGATTTAAGGTAACGGCGGCCGGTTTCTTCTAATGAGGGGACCGGCAAGCGGGGGAGTGATTCTTCAAATCGGAGCATCTTGCCCTTGGAGAGATCTTCTACGTATCCTGGGACAAGTCAGTTCTGCCCCGTCGAGGTTGACAAAAGGTGCGCATGTGATCACTCACCCTCAGGGACTGAGGAAGCCTTGCGACGAGGAGCCATGATGGGAGCCTGCCACACACTCAATTAGCATCTCCACGGAAACAGGTTGCTTTCCACGGAATTTGTGAGTCTTACTGCAGCAGAGCGCGCAAGGAGAGAGTTTGTAGGAGCAAGACGAGGCCGTGTGAGAGTGGTGGAGAGACGGCTTCGAGCAGAAGCCGTGAACATCCCTCTGGACTGTGAGTGATACAGACGGGAAAAGAAGAGGGAGAAAGATCAAGGAAAAGGGTATCTTTGCAAAGCAGAAAAGGGAGAATATGAAATTATGACGAAGAAGAAGAAGCGAGGAAGAAATTAGAAGTTTAAAGACAGGAGAAGCCAACAGAGACACACTCGAAAGTTGCCTCGGCTGGAGGGAATCTCGTCTCAGCCGACCGGTGGGTAACTATGGACACTGGTTTAGTCCGTATTACATGTATTTCACCTTGAGTACGGTATTATCCGTCACCAAAACAGGTCAGGCATGATCGCATGATCGTCATAGGGCAAACCACACTAGAGAAGGCGCGTGTGACCCCACGGAGTCTGCCGTAAATACAGTACATATGCCATACAAGGGATAATTTATGTACGTCTTAATCGGAGAACGGAGCACGGAGGCCAGCGCCGTTGCCTAAGGTAGGTATTTCGGAGTATCTAGTAATTAAGGAAATACGCAGTACTCCGTACGTCAGGTAACAAACAGTTTCTCCCACCCCAGACTCTCATGAGCCTCGGCCCGTTGCAGTGGAAGATGGCCGGTTGTCAAGCAAATAATGCACGAATCGGATTGACAGAGACGAAAGTGTCCAGTGCCAGATGATCCCTGAGGCTAAATAGAGAGCTATGTGTGACCTTGAAGCCGATGAAATACTTGGGAAAGATCGCAAAGTTTCATCGGAGCACTCCTACGACCATGCCGTCCGACACCCGATTCACAGTGGAATAATGCGGGGGAAGCTGCCACCTATACGGTACGTATCATGACCCAAAATACGGTACCAACTTTACCTCTTCATACAGCTGTACTCGATTCTCCATCAGAGATGAAGAGCCCTCAATGATGTGTGCCACTCCAACATCATCTTCGACGTCAACTGTGGGCTGCACCGCAAAGGTTCAATGTCATGACTTGCCTTTTCTCTCTCCTTGTAGGCGCTGTTCACCATTAACTTCCCTTCATCCGTCCCGCTGATCCGGCCTGTCATATGCGTCCAGCTGTGGCCAATCGAAATGGTTGAAATAACAGGATGAATTGGACTTGTAGCATGCTTGATCAGGTTTAAAGAACAGAGGTCTCGGAATCGAGCGATGATTACGTGAATTACAGTTCACCAATTTAAAATAAGAAATAGAAAGTGACATTGTCAAAGAAAGCCAACTCCGCGCCTCGCTAGTAGACGAAAGACAGAAGAAAAAAAGAAAGTATACACCAAGATCAATCAAGACATGATAGCTCCACCAAAAGATCCATCAAGAAAAATATCTAGGCAGTACGGCAGAATAGCTCCGATCTCATGGAAGACTCTTAAGAGACCGTCTGAACCGGCGCAGACACTTCTGGCTTATCCATCCCCCCAGGTTTGCGCCGCGGCACTTGGATGCCGCTACGAAGCTGGTCCAGCTTGATCACTCCTGGCCCAGTGCAGATTCGTCCCGACTGCATCAAATTGCGCAATCGCTTTCGTCGAGCCTCGCCGCCGCGTTCCTCGCCACGACCAACACCCTCATCAACCCACTCCGCGCGGAGCACTTTGAAGCTCATGCCATCGTGGTTGCCTTCCCACGGACGAGACTTCAGTCCGAAGAGGACGCTGGATTCATATCGTTCCAGCTTCGGCAGAATCAGGAGCGTGATGTGGAGATCCTTGTCAGTTGGAGGTGCCGGCGGAATCCGTGGTCGGTCTCCTGTCAGACCCATATCCTCCGCTGTCTTTGGCGCGTGTTGGTATGCGTCACGGATCTCGAGGTCAAGCATATCCACGTCAATCCCCTCACCCCAAGCACCGCGGAAGAATCCAGAATGTATGGCTGCCGCCACCGGATCCGAATCATCCGTATAGATTCCTGTGCCCCAAAGGGCCCGCCGAGCGCATATTTCCTCGCGGTGACCCGTGTCGATACGGAATCGAGGCACACGAACGGTAAATGTGCAATTTTCCTTGCCTTCGAATCGGGGGATCGGCAGAGGGGTGGTGGTGTATCCGAATTTGGCGCTCTCCAAGGTAGCTTTCTCTGAAGGAATATCAATACGTGGAGCATACAAGGTGGACCCAAGATGATGCCGCGGAAGATGGGCTACACTCGAGACAACAGGTTCAATCGTAACCACGGTGCGAGGTTCACGCATCGGTGACGCGGAGTTTGCTGTGGAGGCTGTCGGACGTGATGCATGGTGGTGATGGTGATGGTGGTGATGATGATGATGCCCAATCGGCGTTCCGGACGCTACAGCTTCCGCTGGTGTGGATGTGCGGTGGAAGAAATTCATCGAGGACACAGGCCGATGGGATACACTCGAAGCGACAGCATTATCATCTTCAGGCTTGAGGCGGTGGTGATGATGGCTTGGGACGTTAGATCAGTAGAAAACCAACAAACTAGAAGGGATGATCACTTACTGATGATGGTGGTGATGAACATGACGACCGCGCCTGCCAATTGCAGACGCACCGAGTCGATCTGTACCGGCCTCACTCTCCGCCTTGCTGTCCTCGTCTCGTGATTTTCGAGAACGCTTGCCTGTAGTGGATGCAGGCCGATTGGTTTTAGAATCATCCAGTGTCGCCTCGCTGTTGGTTGAGCGACCGGCAATGCTATCGCGCTTGAAGGGACTGACGGTCATCGGTGTGGAGGGCCCACTACCTGCAGTAGCGGCAGTGACGCCACCAACACCACTTCCAATACCCGAGAAAACGCGACCCAATTCGCTCTTGATCCCAGCTTCGCCGGCGGGGCCAAGGATCTGAGCCTGCGCTCCTTGGACGGCTTGTGGTAATGGCGACGCACGTCCTCCGCGTTTGGCGTCAAGACCGACGCCGAGAAGGTTTCGATGATGTAGGAGCTCGTCGCTCCCCTTTCGGCGCTGGTCGTCGGATGAGGCAGAGTGGATCAGAGACGACGGCCCTCCTGGCGGTGCCGAGGCGAACAGCCGGGGTTCCGTCTGAAGCTTGTTCAGGTACGATTGCTGTTCATTAGATGGGGCCGGCTGGTTCTGGCGCGGTTGCATGGACAAAGATGGCTGCCGCGATCCCCCTGGCTGTAATCCGAGAGACTTTGTATAGCTCTGGATCGCACCAAACCCGAAGGCGGAGCCAGGCTCTGGAGCCGGGAAGCGCTTGGCTTCCGGCGAGGGTGGTTGGGAGCGACTGAGATCCCATGCAGATGCACCAGAATGGCGACTTCCCGCGGCGTCGCGATCGCCGTAATAAGGGCCATATCGAGAGTGAGGATGAGATGCTTTCGATTCAGCTTCATGAGCCGCCGCCCGCTCCCTGTCGCGATGCGCTTGCTCCTCTGCGTGCCGATCACCATACAAGTTCCCAAACCGACTGTGCTGCGATTCGGGACCCACGTAAGAAGCTGCGCGCTGATGTCCAGAACCTAGCGAATGGTCTCCAGCTCCCGGCGCGGGCGCTGGTCGCGATAGTGGACTATAACCCGCCGATCGCGTCGAGCGCTCAAGATGTTGCGGCTGGCTGTTGGGACGAGGGACGGGTCCGTTGAAGCTCAAGCGGCGCGATTCATTGTAGGACAGCTCTGTAGATGCAGATTGAAATTGGGGCGACGCGTGAGAAGAGCTAGGCTTGTCTGGAAACTGCGTCGGCGGTTGGCCGCGCGATAGGCCCGCAAACTTGGATTGTTCGGGACCTGGTGGACCTTGCGATACACTACCAGCGCCTCCTCTGTAAGGACGGCCGGGCTGGTTCTTGGAGAAGGATTTTTCGGGAGTTTTTGACCGACGGAACATTGGGTAATCGAGCGTCGAGGGCCTGGCGGGAGCAGTAGGCGGCGACATTGCGCTTGGGGCGGACGGTGGAGGTGCGCTACCGTATGGGCCGGAGGATACAGGAGCACGAGAGTAGATTGAAGCCGAGCCTACATCCCGGGCTGGTCGGTCAGCGTCCGAGCCTAGCATGGAAGATATCGACATGCTGCTCCCAGGACGATGATGAGCCAGGTTGTTGGGAGGCTCACGAGACATGAAAGGAGCAGGCAGCGATGAATTTCCCGACTGGCCCCGTGATGCATAATGTTGTGGCGGAGAAGGGGGTGGCATTCGACGAGTACCTAAGGCACTAGACGCGGACGACTGATCTTGCGGACCTGTTCAGGCGCGATAAGTCCGAGTTAGCAAAGCGCGTAACCATAAGAGATAAACGCATGATGTGATGGGTGAAAGACAAAAAAAATTATATGCATGTAAAGATAGTCAAAAGCAACGATAGAACTTGATCCATAGCGGGCTATCTTAGACGAGAGCCTCAACGGCGAACGCACCAGAAAACACGGGACTGCCACTGCTGCCCAAAGACCTCCGACGACCCTGGTCGTGCGACCGGGGAGGATTCATGTCGCACGCAGAGGAAAAGTGAGACGAACAGAATTAGGATGAGATGCACAGTATGAGGCGGAAAAGGGAATAAATCGAAAATATGATGACGCGCAATCTAGGGGGGAAGAGGAAGGGGAGAATTGGGGGAAATGGGGATAGCCGATGGGACGATGATGGAAGTTCCATAATCCTTAAGGCACTGGGGCGGTTGAACCCGTGACTCTGGGCCTGGAAGTAGCTCGCGACTAGAGCTAGTCCAGGTCAGGCAAGGGGGTCCTGGACCAGGGCGCTATTCCAAACCAGTACTAGCGCTCCCGAGCCGAACTGTAAGGTAGCCTGGGCAAGTCGATCAGGCGCCAGCCGCGCCACAGACGCGATGGATGCAGGACTTGTGATTGGCTGACGGTGTAGTACTGCCTGACAGGTACAAGGTCGCACCGGACTGGTAGGTACCTAGTCTGGTACGATCATCGTCCATAAATAATGTCAAGAGCTAGTACAATTGCCCACGCTGGCTCAAGGCCATTTTGCCCCAGATTCAACTTTGACATTTTACGCGATGGGATGCGACATTCACGCCTTGAATGGCCTGCGCGTGGCGTCCAGCACTCCACAGCAGAACGACTTGGGGAAATTCAGGGAAACGCGCAATGAAGAAAGAAAATCACGAGATAATGAGGAGCAATAAACAAAGACAATAGCAGAGTCAGAAACAAAGGAAACAGTATTGTCTACCTTGGCGATATATCAGCTGATCATGGCTATTGTTGCGACTGTGGCTTCGACGGTGACGCTTATTGTATTCCTTCTGCCCAGGATCATGCTGTTTGAGCAATCCATGGTTCATCTGCGGCACTTGATAGCTGTGATTGTCTACCCGCAGCGGCGCCGGCATGTTATACGGGGTTGCTGAGGCAGGAGTCGGCGGAGCAGAAGACATGGGTGTGGAGTAAGTGTAGGCCATTGTGTTCGCAGGTTGACTTGATGATACTCCGTGCTGGTTCAACGAATCGTAATAGACCTGTTGAGGAGGAGGGACGCTGTAGGTTGGAGGCGGCTGCGGAGCGGCACGAGAGTCGTGTGAGGCGCCGAAGAGCGACGGATACTGAGGAGGGCGCTTCTGAAGGTCCATCATCATGGGCGAGTGATGATGATTTCTCGTCAATTGTATCTGAGGAACGGCAGGATGAGGATTTACTGGCTTCAAAACTAAGTCGCGTGTAGGTGAATTTCCTATTTGATGGTGAAAACTGAGAAATGGCGGTGGAAGCTGATGCGCTTAAGCCAGACAGATGTTGCTGTCTCTTCAGAGAACCCCCAATAGAATACTAATAGAGCTGTGAAACAAAGGGAATATGTTGTTGGGATTTGATAAAATTTGAAGAAATCAAAGAATCGGGGCCCATTAAAATGTAACAAGAAGCAGATTGACTGCTGTTATTGATGTTGTTGGTGTGGTGGTGGTAGTGGTGGTTGTGGAAGAAGAAAAGCTCAGAAAACGGTGAGCGACAGATCAGAGGGAGGAAAAAGAAAAACAACAGGCATGCGACAGGGCCCAAGGATTACAGGGAAGATGGAGCAGAGACATGGAGCCAGAGCCAATCACAGGGGATGCAGAAGTGCTAGTCTGGATAATGGATTGAATCTCCATAGGTACTGATGTAAAACTACTTACTAAAAAGCGGACAAATCTGAATCAATAAAATGGGGCCGTCATGGCAGCGGGGAAAAGTGGAGTACTTACATAGTACGGAGCATCACAGGAGGAATGAAGATAAATACCTCTCTAGATATCCTACAATGTAGACATTCTGGAGTATCTGGTGGTGACATTACTACAGTGGTGATCTACCATTTCAATCTTTTGTGGCTCAAAGTCCCAATATGCCATTCCTATGGCCACACTGGCATCAACATAGGTAAAGTACGGTTGAGTATACTGTACAATGTTATCCTCGTTGGGCGCAGACTCCAACATACTTGGCATGGCATGCAGCAGTAGCCCATCGACGTGTCATGTCGACAGTTTGTCTATACCACATACCAGTTCACCTTGAGAAATCATTTCTACTGTCTCAATCTGCGGATGCGTTTGTATCATTCATGAATGAAAAGAGAAAAAAGCACATCTACTCGAGTCCTCCAGACCTCTTAAAGCTCTATCCCTTTGTTCCCTGGAATCAAACGGATACAATACTGTACTGCAGGGCCATCATCTGCAGCAAGGATGCTGTACATACTCACCGCACATGCATGCATGCCGACTTTTCGACATCTTCCTCCCGTCAATACGTCGAGTTATCAAGTAAGGTTCATGTATCCCAGTCCTAAAATCTTGGTACAGAGTTGCTTCCTTCAACATCCAGGAGAAGATCCTACGCTGTCTGATATGGTTTGATAGACAGAACTGTATACTCCGATCAGAAGCCCTTGCATGATTGTCAAAAAGGGGCAATATAGAGCTACTAATCAGGTTGTTGATGACCTAGAAGAGAAGCCTGCATACATCTTCTGGTGAGAGGTTGGTGTTACACTGACCCTTTTCGCGTCATACATCTGCGGAAGCAAGGGATTTCTGTAATCATCTGTCTCAGGTTCTTGAGATGCCATTCTTCAATGTGGGTGAGATTGAGTTTTACTGCATGGCAATATGCTTTTACATTGTGTAGTAATCCATTCCTTCACGGAGTCTCTGTTCTAGAAACCCAGGTTCTCTTCTGCTATCCTCACCATCCTTCCAAGGACAGGTGAGTTCCACCACGGTCGCTCGCAATCATTCTTGTCGTTCTCAATTAAATCAACTCCTTCCTGAGCTAGTACTCGCAAAATCAGCTTGCGTGATCGTCGCGGATGGCACTGGATGCCGGTATACCGTGCGAGCAGTCCATGCTGGTGAGCAGCACGCACTTGCGCCCGAATTAACTCGATCTGCTCTTTGGAGAATCGGCCCCGACGGGGGAGACCGACAGATGCTTCGAAATCGGCAGTTGCCATAACAGTCTTTGTCGTCGAGTACTCCACCGGAACACCTTTTGTACCATGGTTTGCAGCCTGTGCTGTCGACAACAAATTGTCGCTGTCGATTTCCTTATCCCCTTCTGTGGTAGACTGTGCTTGCTGATGCGCTCTAGTCAACGAGTCCAGTGAGGTGTCAAAGAAGATAAAGTCTGGCTCCGTCACGTTGGTTCGATCCAGATACGATGGATCTTTGCTTGAAATCACGACAGTGACAGATCTCAAAACTAGTCGCGTCCCGTTCCTGTATGATAGATACCTTCCTTCCCTCAGCATCTCGAGCCCTGATATTAACTCCGGCCACACTGCTTGAACAGGAGATCCCGACTCCAAGAGAAGGATCGAGGAGGGCACGGATTCCTCCTCAAATGACCCTAATGGGCTCGCTTCAGCAGAGCGAACAGGGGAATTCAATGGAGAATCCATGGCATCCAGCTTCTCTAGCAATGATTTGAAGTATGCGCTGCTTAGCTTTTTTGGACCGTTAACTGCTGCCATTGAGTCGTTCGCCCAAAGACTGCCATTCTGCATCCAAATGTCCACCTTGACCCCAATGCATCCGACAGCAGAAAAGTCATTTATCGCATCTCGGCCGGCTTGCAAATGATATGCAGAGCATCCTGCAGGATTGTGACTGAATCCAAAGACCTGTCCGTTTCCTCCGAGCTCCGCATGAGGCAACAAATGTATAAGTCCAAGGGGCAGTAAAGATAAGAATTCTACCACAATCCTGTTTCAACAACGTGGTCAGCCCAAGGATCATCCAACTTTATGACAATAGTCCAGGAAACGAACGTGATCATCAACAACAAACAAACCACTCGAAACAGGCGCTCCCCCCAACTCTTCCTAGCCGTGACGCAGCAGCCACGTATAAATCCGAACAATCCCGGACAACAATGAGTTGGAGGTGTCCGAAGGGGGTGGTCTTCCAGTAGCGCCCAGGAATAAAACTCATCGTAAAGAATGTCCACAACAGTCTCTTCGGGCAATTCTGGCCCACAGGGCACATGGCTGGTAAGTGAAGGTGCCATTTGCCAGCTCTTCAATCTCGATCAGCAGTAATGCATTGACCGCGATTGTCTGCGATGATCGACGTCAAGCTCGATGGGAGATAATGTAGCGGTGAGACAGATAGATCGGTATTAGATCCTAGAAAGACAGCCGAATTGCCCTCGAGAGTCCTAAGTGACACGAACGTTGGAAAGTGATCCATGGTCTCGTGCGACACTGGCTTGAGTTAAGCTAAATATTGAAGACGAGGACTTCCAGGGAGCACGCAATTGCCGGTCTGGATGGCTCACAGTCTAAAAAGACGACCAATTTCAATCGGCGTCGACGTTAGATTGTCGATCCGATGACGAGATAGCAACGATGACCCGCATTGTTATCGACTGACCGCTGGATCAAACGCCAATTCAGATATGCTTGCGCACTGCTAGGAGCTAAAGTGTTGCTGCGCTGTGCTCGACTCGTTGCTGCTATTGTGTGGATAGTCTGGGCGCTTTTTCGAAATCAGAGCTTCAGTGACGATCAGTCATTTTAGCGTCAGGGGGATTGGCTGTAGACATTTACATTTACAACAGCAAGTTTCCTCCATACTATCGAGTTCATACACCACACACATACACAGCTCCGCAACAAATAGATTTGTTGTGGAAGTCAAATCCATGAATGAACTGACCACTCTGTGATGCAAAAATGTGCGAGTAAAGCCAACAAGGTCAAATGAGCAGTGAGATCATAACATTGGCCTTCTATCTATGTAAGTATTTCTAGGATTAAGATTACAATTATTCTGTCGATGGAGTCTTCATCAGGTTCGTCATATCAAGCAGCCATTCTGCTTTTGCTGCGGATTCGTGCTCCGTAAATATAAAGCAGCAGCGGGATAGGGATCATCAATGCTCCCACACATCCAAGCAGTGTGCAAGCCCATTCCACACCTAACCCATCGAACTGGATGCAATTCTGTCAGTTTCACAATCCGAAAGCTTGAGGAATGATGACTGACCATGTATGTTGCAAATAGTGGGAAGACGCCTCCCGCGACCGACCGCAGGAATGTGTGTGCAGCAACAGCTGATGCCGCTCTGATGATACTCAGTCAGTTCATGCGTCGTCATCCTTGGCGAGATTGAAATACTCACTTCTGAGGACGAGCCTCGACCAGATAAGCAAGCGAGGGAAGAAACATAGTCAACAATCCAAATCCGGTCAGCAGCCCCGACAGAGTCGGCACAATCCAGTGGATGCTCTGCTTGTATCCCGACCATCCCAGCCAGAAGAGCCCCCCAGAGAAAGCGACTGCACCTGGGATAGCCACAGGAAGACGCCACTCTGGCATCATCACGCCACCGGTTTGCTCCAGCTTGCGCAGAATCCAGGGCTGGGTCGCTGCGATGCCAACGGCGCCCAGGAGCTGCCCCACGATAACCCCCAGATAGGGCAGCCCACCCACTCCTGGGTTCATACCATGAATTCTCTGGAAGATAATCGGATATGCGGTCAAGAAGAGATAAAGCAGACCGTACACGAAAGATGCGAAAACACACATGCACGTGACAATCGGGTCGAGCACGAGCATCTTCAGTGGCAGGGCGAGGTACTCGGTCACTATGGATCTAGCATCAAGACGCAGCTCTTCGTGCCGGGCGTGAAGTGACCAGTTGCCGGTTTCGCGGCGCAATCGATCAGCTTTTCGAGCCAGGATTACCGGCTGGTAGGTCTCCTCCAGGAAGACGACCAGAAGCAGGAGCACGGCGCCTCCTAGAATACCCGGAATATATGCCGTCCACCGCCAGCCCAGCGAAGAGTTCATTACCGTGAAGCCTCCCACAAATGGAGCAGCGAGAGGACCGATGAACACCATCAAGCAGAACATGACGATGGCAATACCCCGCTGCTCCGGCGCGAACATATCCGCAAATGATGCTCCGGCGAGTGTGAGCGGACCGGAACCGAAGAATCCAGTGAAGTAGCGAAGGATGAACAGGGATTGGAGGTCTTTGGAGACGGCAGTTGCGAACGAGAATATCGTGAAGCCAAACATTGAGATTACAAGGGGCATGTATCTGCCCTTGAGCTCCGAGAAGGGACCGAAGAACAACGGACCGAATGCGAACCCGAAGACGTAGAGGGATATACCGAGGGTGCATACCTCCCGGCTGATACCATATAGCTGCATCACTGATGGCATGGCGGCGGAGAAGATACTGCTTGCAAACGCGACGACCATTGTGCTGAGGCCCAGTATGGCAGAGATATAGACCCTGATGTCGCATTCACCGTCAGTTCAGTCATCCAATATCCAGTGAAGCAAAGACGGACTAAACGTACCTTTTCCTCATGGGCCAGTTGAGGGGGTTAAGAGGATCATCCGGGCCGTCGAAGTCGACATGCTTTTCAACTGACATCTCGCTTACTCAAAGATTTCAATGTGTCTGAAATACTGATTGTCAGAGTCCAACTAATGTCAAAACTGGATATGATTTATTTCGACGACGAAGTCTACAAGCGAGAACACAGAGCACAAACAAGAAGCTCAGCGCCTTCTTAAACCTCCATACCCACTCAGCACAGAATCCTCTAGCATGCCATATCCAGCCCTATTCTTCATAAGAACCCAGCACAAAACCAATATAGCATGTTACCATCCTGCCAAGATCTGCACAGGGAAATCGCAGCCGCCACAACAACGGCCCATCGGGCGTCTACACATCCCGAGTGGATAACTGGTTATCGGTTGGCTTATTTCATCATTGCAGATGCGTTTTCACGGGTTCTAGCCTGTTGGTTTCCCACATTTACTCATCACTACGAGAAGACTGATAGTGCGGTGATTCCGTCCGCTCGGTTTGCCGAGGCATTATCGGGGGGATTATGTCAACAGATCCGACGGAGAACGGACGCATCCACATCTACATATCACCAGACAACACGGCCGACACATACACAGGGAATTCAGGAATTTTCTAGCACAGTGTCGGATCACATGGAGGGTTCAGGATTGCTTCTGCTTTGATGGGGATTGCGGATCACTCGAGATGGAGTCATGGCCATATCAGCCCTATCCACGCATTACGGAGTAGATAGTTATCACAGAGAAGAAGGCTAGAACTTCACAGGAGTGTACTCCGTACTGTGTAGGGAGTTAGCTGATGGGCTTTCCAGACGTGCATTCAACGGTCGGCCCGATTGGACCGGCAGACTGGTCTTACGGACTGACAGATGCATCGACAGCATGCATAAGAGTCCAGCTGAATGCAGTAGCAATCTACACTGAGAGGAAACTCCCGCCATTTGCATCAGATGATTCCGATACATGGATGCTTCACTGTATGATATCAGGTATTGTTGATACTATTGTAAGTACCAGGGGATACAATTAGGCTGAAATCAGATCCACAATCACATGAAGAACTCGCCCATAGGGCCACAATCACATGCCATATCAGATCTTCAGCTTCACATGCTTACACGAAATCGAATTTTCTATCTAATCTTGTTCTATTTCGGGGTATTTACTCGATGAAAAATTCATATCACTCTATACATAAGACATAAGTATGTATCATGTCGCCAATTATATCATTCTTGTCATCTCAAGGGGTCTGCGCTCCCTCCCCTATTCCCATCAGCCCGCCCGCTAGGCCGTTCATTCTGCGATCCAAAAGATCCTCGTGGCTGGGAAGGCTGTGAAGACTTCTTTCTCGTTGGCGAGGACGTACTGGGCTTCTCAGGCTACCTGACATGGTTTCGTCGGAAGCAGGCAGAGTGACCTTCGTCGGGGCGAGACGCCGTCTTCTACCAAGCCCGCTGGATGAGCTTTTTCGGCCCCTAGATGAACTCCTTTTGCGAATTCCATGATTCGAGTCAGGTTTGAGATCAGAGGTGACGGTAGCCTCCCGACGAGAACGATAAGGCTCATTGGATGGCTTGTCCTCCTTACGTTGCTGACTCTCACCGGAGCCGAGATTGCCGTGCGCAGGCGTCAAAGGGGTCATTCTGCCGATGCTCATCTCTAAAGGCCTGTCCTCATCTGCAGAGGACTCACCTGTCAAGCTTCGCTTGTGATTCCGGAGACCCGTTTCCCTGTTTGTTTCTATGTCCAAGTTTTTGTAGATAGCAGGATTATCGTAGAGCGACTGTAAAAGGCTAGAAGACGATTTCTTGATCTCAGCCGTGTCAAATAAGTCCCGGATCCACGTCGCGCATCGGTTGATGTGTTTCCAGCTGTCAGGGAAGAATCCGGCCATCTGGAGGAATCCATGTGACACCCCTGGTAGTAAGGAGACTTCCACGTGGTCCTTTTCATTGAATACCCGATGGGACTTTTCAAGCCCTAGCTCCTGTCTTTCCCGAAATTGGTGCAATTTGGCCTGGCGTAGCCTGCCTGCGAATATGACCGTGTCGTCGACCAGTGGGTCTCGTTCCCCTGTGATGAAGTACGTTTTGGGAAACTTGGTGAGAAGGCTCTCGGGAGCTAAAACAGGCGATAAGAGAAAGTCCGTGCTAAAATCGGGCCGGTTGTGAGGCCCAATGTAGAGGATGATCATGGCTCGCATCATCTCTGGGGTCAATATTCGATCATGAACATACGAGATCATGGAGGACACGGCCAAACGAGTTCGGATCTGTTTGGGCTGATTTTCAGCAAGTGCAGCTGTCTGAGCTGCCAGACTATCTTGGTTCAATTTCTCAGCAATTCTCTTCGAAGTCTCCTCTCCCAGGTCAATCGCCGCCAAGTCCGCATCAGACGAAAGCTCCTGTTTTAGCTCTTCCGTAGATGGTCCAGGCGAAGCAAATGGCGTTAACCTGTGATAGTCCATGTTCTTTCTCTGCAAAATGTTCATATTCGTCCGGCGAGCGCTCTTATCCTGGATCAACGACATCTGCTCCTCCGTCATCCAGCTCTCAACTCGCATGTTTAAGGAGGGATACGCCAGTACCAGACCATCTGGTCGTGGGATCACATTCTCGCCTTGCCAACTTGAAGCATCAGTAGTCCCTGATTGCAGAATCATCAGGACCATCCCGACAGCTAGGTTTCCGCCAGCACTTTCCCCAGTAACCACAATACGTGGTCGCGTACGTCCACTCAGTCCCAGGCAACGGCCTCGCGTGGTGACGATCGTGTGATAGACATCGTAGCATTCGTTCAAAGCATACGGGTAAGGATACTCCGGTGCCTTCTTGTAGTCTAGACTCAATATCGGAACCTTGGTCTTCCCCGCCCAGGCGAGCAGTCGATCTTCCGAGCTGCGCGGGTTCATAGCAACATAACCACCGCCCGGAATATCCAAGATGACACATGTCTGGTCTCTCAGCGCGCTCACCGGACCGTCAAAATATAGCCATGCATTCGTCGGCTCAGTGTAAATAGATTGTTTAGGGCGAGGGATACGGATGGCTCGAGGGCCATATTTAGTCAACCGGGGTCGGACCAACTTCTGAAGTGCCCAAAGATATGGTGTGGTTCCCTTGTTCCACGATACTCGCAGATGTTCCACAGTCAGGGTTGCGCGGACACGGCGCACCTTATCATCTGCTTGCTCTGCCGCGAAAAGATAGTAGACTGTGAATGCCAACGATGCGATATCCCGTAGCCATTTGGATTTGATCTTCATTGCAGTCCAAAAGCCAGCGTCGAGTGCCGTGGTGATCCATGTTGCGCGGAAAAACGACCGAGAGTACAGATTCGCCAGGGGTTCGGGGCTTTCGAGACCAACAATCTTCGCGAAATTGCGGCAGATATAGAGCCATAGAAACACAGCTACTGTGGTTTGCCAGACAGTCAATTTTCCGGACAGGCGGGACGAGATATTGCGAGCGATCGGAGGGCCATGCTTGCTTCCCCTACGTGTTATGATTAGCAGATTTTCGTCTTTTCAGTTGTAACAGCATACAACTTACTTAAACAAATAGGCAGACCAGAATAGGACTACTCCAAAAACCTGGATCTTTCGAAATTTGGTTGAGGGTCTGCCTAGAACGTGATCTATTGCCCATCAGTTGTTTGCTTCAACAGAGCTCAAGGAGCCTTCATACCTATCATCTCTATTAGGCTCTCTGACAAGTCACAGCTTGATTAATCCTTTGACTCAGATCGACGTTGTCGCAGAGGCAAGAACCAATATCACACTTCAGGTGCATAGAGTCAGTTGGCGAGGAGAAGGAAGGGAGAGGCAGAGGTGTGACGAAAGCGAAGCACAGCTTCATGAATCGTCCTATAAGATAAATAGAGAAACAAAGCGCCTCTCTGGACCTGCCATCCTACGAAATTAGATAGACAAAGAAGTGTGGAGAGTGGAGACCCCGGGATCAAGTTGATAAACGGGGTATTGCAGCGACTATCTTCAAATGCCACCACGAAGAGAGTGGGGACGGTGACTGTGACAAACAAACAGCAGGAATTGAAAGAACTGCCGCATCCAGCAATCTGGCCCTGAAGATGTCTGTGCCTGGGAATCCATTTGGAGGATAGTGGATGAGTTGGCGCAATAATGGTCAGTAGATAGGCAGTAGGTAGGCCGCTTAGAATGATGATGAATGGTGGATGAGGCTGTGACTAGGGCGAAGCATGTGAAAGTCTCCACAAGTATTCTCGGGTGCTGGAACAACTGGGACTCTACCAAATCATATGGAGGCTGTTAGGTGCTCATAATTGGGTCAAGATCATTTCAATGTGGTCCAGTTGCTTAACAGTCATCAGGTGGGAGAGAACCCATGGTTGATTGTGGGTTGTGGATGGCGGATCCCTTCATGTCGAGTCCCTCTGTGACCATCACATGTCAAACCCTCCACAACCCGTGACCGGTATCTTGATGCACCTCGACCGTCTAAGTCAGATGGGCAAGGCATCCTGGCAAATGATATGTCATGAGAAAACCGTTTATATTATGCTCCGAGCGATTCTTCATTATTCGTGCATCTATATTCTCCGGCAGTAATCCCGCCCATGTGCGATTTGCCAGTCACAAAGCCAGACTTCGAAGACCATACTGACGAAGCCAGCAATGCAAATACCTGCTGAATCGCTGACTGTCGTCGCTCCTAGGGAGAATTCACGCTCTTCCTTTGGCACACGGTCTCCGATTTCGGCGAATGTGTTGACATAGACCAAACCGCCCAATAATCCCTCCCAGAAAATGATTACAAAAATGATATACACACTGGGGATGAAGTTGAAAACGGCATGAAGGGTCAATAGTACCAAGTTCAGAATCTGTAAGAAAGACGGGAGGTAGAGGTCATGGATACGGAAGAAGGGTGTGGAGGATCGAGAGATAAAGACCCCGACCTGGTAGATCGCGTTGTATGCTGGATAGAAGGCACGGAAATGCGCAAAAGGGGATTCGTCGAGCGGGAAGAGCAGTGTCGGAGACACTCCTTGATTTATTGTATACTCCGCGAC